CTTTTGACAGTTTTCTAAGGATGGACAGCAGAAAACAATGGTGGTCATGCAAAATCTTCCATGCTTTTGCTGAACCTACTATGTTTTCATACTGGATCAGGAGGGGGTGAACTGTTGCTATACTTACTTTTATAAATACAAGAACATAAGAAGAGCTCTGCTGGATCAAACCAGTGGTCCATCTATTCCAGCATCCTGTGTCACACAGTGGGCAACCAGTTACTCTGGAGTGCCAAAAACAGGGCATATAGGCTGAGGCCTTCCCCTTATGTTGCCTCCTGGCACTGGTATTCAGAGGTTTACTAAACAGTAAGCATTTTTGTGGCATCTCCATTCTGTCTGTGTCTCAACATGTATGCCCTATGTTCCATTATAACAGTAAATTCCATTATCTGAGGACACTGAAGCATTTATAGAGCTTTAAGACTACAAATCCTATGGTGCTATGTACCCTAGAGCTTAATAAACCTGCTCAAGATCAAAATACTTATTCAGCCTTAAGGATAAAGCTTCTTGATTCATTGTCCATGACTGAAAATATCCAGGGCTGTGAACACAAGGAAGCCAGTGACAAAGCTGAAGGAACATCAATGCAAACTGAACTATTATGTATGACATTTTTAACCTGGTGTTATGCATTCCGTTATTATTATGTGCTAGATGCATAGCCTGATATGCGAGAACAGGATTGGCAACAGACCAATCCAGAGAGACATTGACTTCGGCGAGAACAATCCCCATTGGTCCTAAGCGCAGTATTCTCATTGGACTTTAGCTGTTTTAGAGGTGTGGTTTTACCAATTCAAAAAGTATGAAGTTGGCTTGTTCTGTGTTATGTTTGTCCTGTGTTAAGTTATGAGCTGAATAAAGAAATCACCTTGTTTAAAGAGCTGCCTCGATCTCAGTTCATAAAACCTAGCTTCCTCTCCAAGAAGTTAAGGGGGGCACAGGTAGTTCTCCCTTATCGTCACAACAACCCCAGGAGGTAAGTAAGTCTGGGAAAGAATGGCTGGCCTAAAGTCACCCAATAAGTTTAATTGTAAGGAATTATCTGAACCTGGTTGTCCACAGCCCAGCGCTCTTACTCATATCACACTGACTCAACATATGACACTGCCTAAGACCGAATCACACCGTAGATCCATCTAGCTCAGACTTCTTTACTTTGACTAGCGGAAACTTGCCTGTATCTCAGCTAGTTTTGGTACTTAAGAAATGACCATTGCTCATATGTCTCTTTTTGCTAGCACGTGGATCTTTGCCAAAATGATCCTGCCCCCAGTTCTTGAAATTAAAATCTCAATATTGACTACAATGTTGGGGAGAGTGTGGCCCAGTAAAACAGCCTCTGCTTGGCATACAGAAGGTCCTGGGTTCAATGCCCGGCATCTCCACATAATAGGATCAGGTGATATGAATGACTTCTACCTGAGACCTGGACAGCTGCCGGTGTAGACAATATTGACCTTGACAGACCTGTAGTCTGATAAGGCTGTTTTGTGTGTGTGTGCGCGTGCGCAGAAAAAAGCATGAGAGTTGGGGTAGGTTTGGCAAATACAGGCAGTTTTCCTGATCTTTGTATTTGAGATGCAGGGAATGTGTAGAATTCAGATATATGAGGTGGACAGAAAGAGTTGCTCTGCAACGCAGGGAACAAACTGGCATAAATCCCAGAGAGCAAAAGAGCCAGCAGAGTAGTTCTCTCTTATTCTTTTTTTTTATTTTTTTTATGGAAGAGTTGGCACTGTCAAAACAAACGCAGCTGCCTCCAAGCTTCCTCCTGCCACCAGTGCTGACAATGCTCGAGAGAGGAGGAGGAGGTGATGAATGCTTTGTTATTAAAGAGGAGGAGGCGAGTGTTGGGGAAGGTGTTGAGTTCGACACAGCAGCCTCGAGTGCGAGGGAGAAGCAAGAAGCGGCAGCGGAATCAGCCCCGTGCCGCCCGACGCGGCTCTGGCACGGAACCGGCAGAAATCAACGTGTCGGCTTTTCACAGCGCGCCGCTTGCTGCAGCAGCAACCGGAGGGAGCGGACGAGCGCCAGCAGCGCCATATGGAAAGTGGCGGCGGCGGCGAGGGTGAGAGTGGAGGAGAGCTGGGAGGCAGCCGCGGCTTCGACGGCGGCGCGTCTCGCTGAACCCGGCGGCCTGCAGGCCTCTCTCCGCCTGCTCCTCCCACTTGGCGAGAAGAAAACCGAGAAGTTCTGAAAGAAATGGTTAGTTACTTCCGAATGAAAAGTCCAGCGACCGCCTTGTTGATATAACAGAGGGATTTCCCTCCCACACACCCTTTTGGCTGCTTGTATCTTGGTCTCCTTTTCTCACTTCTTCCCCCAAAATCCAAGCGGAGCATTCCTGTTCTCTTACAACATACCCATTTACAGTACATTTCCTATTTGCATAGTAATTCTGAAATTTTTCGATTTTCCCCCTTCCCCACACCCAGTTTTTGAGCCAGGCCATTTTTCAGTCTGCGCTTAATTCTAAATAGGATTCAAATAATCTTTGCAAAGGGCAGGAGATCCCCCAGAACTATAACTGATCTCCAGATTACAGAGATCAATTCTGGAGAACATGGCTGCTTTGGAGTATGGGCTTCATTGACATCATATATCCATTGGGATCCCTCTTGGCCCCAAAGTATGCTTTCCCCAGGTTCCACCCCCAATCTCCAGGAATTTCCCAAGCGGGCATTGGCGACCCTATCAGATTTTCTGAGTATTCTGCATGCAGAGATGCTAACCAAAAAGCAAATGCTGTTCATATCAATCTTGTGGGTTCATCCAGCATTAATTTCACATTTACACAAGTAATTCTGATGACTGTGTTCTAGGAGCTTTGGGTCTAGCAAACCAGACAGAGGGAACAAACTCAGTACCAAAGACTCTACTAGCCACACTTTTACAAAAGCCTCCATGTGGCTTCTTCCCAGAATATTTTGATAATGTTTGGTTGCAAGCAGCATGCAGACTGGATTACAAAGAAAGAACCACCTCAGCACCATCTTCTGGTCCATCCCCAGACAGTTGGGCATGGGTTTTGCCACATAATCTTACATCTAGGGGCAGGGCCGGCCCCAAGTTTTTTTGCACACTAGGTGAGGATACCTTCTGCCCCCCCCCCCACCAATTTTCAAACCATAAACGCATAGCTTCTCTGGTATGCCTTTGTGGTCTCCCATCCAAATACTGACCAGGGCTGACCCTTCTTAGTTTCCACAGTCTGACCAGATCAGGCTGGCCTGGGCCATCCAGATTAACACATTTACATTCGTGCTCCCTCTATGCTGAGTTAGTGTGAGCTAGCTCACAGTTTTTCAGCCTCCAGCTCACAGATTTTTGTCTTAGCTCAGGAAGGATGGCTCCAGAGCAAACTAATGCATGTAGCAGCCAAGACACAGCATCTTTGAGGGAGCACTGCTCCTGCCTCCTTCTGCTTGGCAGGTGTAGAGGCCGGTGAGAATTGAGGGGGGGGGGATTCCTCTCCCGCTCTCCTGCGGCTGGTGCCCTTGCCATTCAAGCGTTTCGCACACGCGGAAAAACGAAGTGGGTGGACGACGTGGGAGGAGACGGACCCAATGCCGGGGGGGAGAGATCGAAGGGTGAGGGTGCGGTCACACAGCCAAGCGACTGCTGCCGCCCGACTCCTCTGCGTTCAGACGGCCAGCACCCTCTCCCAGCAGGGCTTGCGGGAGGTTCCGCAGACAGGTTTGCGGGAAGTTGCAAAAGTGCGCGCATGTGTGCCCATTAGAATAAGAAAGGGCCAAAGAAGTGGTGGTGGCCAGGGCGCATGGCGCGAGCTTTTGGTGGGGGGCTTTTGGCGGAAGGGAGGGTGGCTCAGTCCGGCGCCCCCATGATGGCCCCACGCTCTAGGTGAGGGTCTAGCTCGCCTAGTGAGTGAGCCGGCCCTGACTACCATGCCACAGGTAAAGACCCAAGGTCTACCTATATGTCACATGGGGGGATCTGTGATTCATACCCTTTTAAAACCGTTGACTTCAATGGACTTATAAGGGTATAACTCTACTTGGGACAGCATAGCGGATGTCCTTTTTAAAAAAGGGTTCAATACAGCTGAGTGGGGCACCTCACTGGATAAGGATTACAGTGCTGGAGGGGGCTAAGCCACCTTCCATGCCATTTTCCTTACTGAGAATTGTCTCCTCCCCACACACCTGTTGTGAAGGTGGGGAGGCGCAGTATAGGTGCTTGTCCCGTTTCTGTGCTTCGGTTAACAACAGTTTTGCAGGGGGTGATCCAATGAGAGGAAAGAGCACAGGAGAAAATTTAGCCTGCATCCCCCAAACCAGCAGTCCCATCCTGAGATCAGAGGCCACTGGATTTAATGTATTTAATATTTTAATGTTTTTATTGTTCTATTATACCGGCGATATGCCGTGTACGCTGCCCTGAGCCTACGGGGAGGACGGGATAAAAATCTAAATAATAAACAAAATAAATAAATAAATAAACTTTTGAACTGAATATCCAGCACAAGCGCTTCAGAAAAGGGCAGGAGTCAGATGTGATCACATGAACTTGTTCCTGATGCTAAGTTTAATTGACAGCAGACGTGGCAGCTGATCTCAACTAAACACGGCTGCATTCACATTTTTTATAACAGCTTTGTTGCCTGGAGTCATGATAAGCAACAGGTTTTTAAAAAGCCATTCATCTTGTTCACAAGAGAAAGCACCTCGTTTCATCCTGTGCTGAAAGTCTGAATTTATTCTACCACATCTGGGGAAAGAAAACAACAACAACACAGTCCAGCATATTCTGGTCTCTCTTCCATCTGTACAAGCCGTCAGAGCCTCCCTATAGAGATGGTACCCAAGCGTCTTTTGCTAACAGTAACTCCTTAAGCGGCAAATGTTTCAGGTCATATGTGTTTTCCTTTGACAAACGCTGTAGAGTGTTTAGATACAGTATTCATACAAACTATATACACACCGGACTCTAAATTTGTTATACTTGCATATCTGTTAAACACAAGGAATAACTCACTGATCCATGTGGACCTGCCAGTAAGCTTTGCGAGTGACATTCACATAGTTGAAGTCTCCGCTATAATACTGTGGATCTGTTCCCCCTAGAAGCAATTCTCCTCCGGGTGATGATTTTGGGTCCCTTGAAAGAAAGAAAAAAAAGCACACAAATGTAGAAACAAAAATCAATAGAAGATCTGGGATCTCTACAATAGAGATCTGGGAAGAAAAACTAGCTGAGTATGCAACACTGGCAAAGTTAACCAATGATATAAACAAAAGACCATTGAATGAATTTCAGCAAAAATGGCAAGCTTATTATATTATGGGAATGATTAACTTTTTTCTTTTTAGTTCTGGAATTATTTGAATATCACATTAAAGATGAAGATATTGATTAAAATTTCAATATTTTATTCTGTATTCTATTAATATTTAAATAATCAGTAAGAATAAAATTCAGATTTAAATAAACAATTAAGACAATATTTATGTTTTTAGTATAGAAATTTGTTCAACCGTTAAAGATGCATTTTCTTTTATCATTAATATATTATTACTAATTTTAGGAGAGTTTTTGTTTATTCCCAAAATTCTGCAAAATTGATGCTTTATTGTTTCTGTATTTGAATTATGTAATACACTTGTTAATATATTTGATTTTACTTGTTGTACGTAACAATTCATAATGTTTAACAAACATGTGGAATCTACATTTCCCCCCTCCCCTTTTCCCGTTCTGTATCCTACCTCTTTTTTCCTTGAGAAAATAATAAAAAATAATTTAAAAAAATAAAAAAAGGGAGACCAAGGGAGCTCCGTATCCTCGAAACATATTACTTCCAAGAGGTAGTTCCAGACAATACCATAGTTCATGATATGGACTTCGTCAGAGGAAATACAACAGCAATACAACAAGGATCCTGTTCCTCACATCTTGGTAAAGATTGCTTGCAGAACTATGGTAATGGAATAGGGATCCCACGTCCCCCCGGGGGGCGGGGAAACCCCTGCCCCAGAGGCCCGTTCCCCGGCGCCGCCAGATTGGGCCCCGGGGGGAACTCCACCCCGATGTGCGCGTCACCCGGAAGTGACGCGGGCACGCCGGGGGCGGGGCCACGGCCATACAAGGGAAAACTCTATGGTTTCCCCTTGTATAGCTGTGGCCCCGCCCCCAGCATGCCTGGTGTCCTCCCATCACTTCCGGGTGACATGTGTGCGGAGCATGCAAAGTGCACGCACACAAGACGCCGGCCGGGAGCCCCCCGCTCCCGGTGAAGATAGACTTGGCAGGGCTCTTGTTGTAGCAGGAACTCCTTTGCATATTAGGCGACACACCCCTAATGTAGCCAGTCCTCCAAGAGCTTACAGTAGCCCCTGTAAGAAGAGCTCTGTAAGCTCTTGGAGGATTGGCTACATTAGGGGTGTGTCACCTAATATGCAAAGGAGTTCCTGCTACAAAAAGAGCCCTGGTTGGCAACCCTATAATGGAAGGTCAAATGAAGACATGGCATAAACCCACAGAACTCAAAGCAAGTACTCTTATCTAGGGTGGCCTCCGTGTATTTCCTTAAGTGGCTTTTGGAAGTTTCCATTAAGGCTGCAATCCTCAGAAGTAGCAAGTGAGCCCATCAGAACTCAAGTAGCAATACCTTAACTTGGACTGTATGCCTGATATTTGTCACCTAAACCATGTTCTTATTCTGAAGAGCTCAGAGTGCTTAAAAATGGCTTCCGGGGTTGTTTAACATCAAGGCAGCTTACAGGGTCAGCCTTGTTTAGGTTCAGCCGAAGAACTCTTCACAGGCCTTAAAGTCTGTTCAGATGCTACACTTACAGTGTACTTATTCCCAGTCTCCCTGTATTCTTCATACAGGTATAGGGTTACTCCTTTCTATCCAGGAAAAATGAAGTGCTTTATTTCAGAACAAAAGGGGGGTCTTCATATTTGACCCACATGCCTTATGAACTGGCTACAAGAATGGAAAGTATTCACGTAACAACATTTATTTCTGACAAAGCCAGCATCACCTGTTGAGATAAAAGGAGAATACGTTCTTGTCCAACAGTTGTTGTTCCATCACATTGTCGAAGAAAGGTGTACATTTCTTCACAGAGATCTTGGGGAATGCCATGCCCATGATTCCATCAAACTTTGCAGCAATGAATGTGATGCCAGGTTGGCTGACAGCTTCACCAAATATCTGATTTTTAACTTTTAAGTCACCAAGCTGAAAGAAAGTGGTAGTTAGGGACACATTAAGAACAAATCATGGATCGGGAAAGACACATTCTCTTGGTAACAAGATGAAACATAATTTGACAAATGGGTAAGATACTTTAGTCTAGGTGCCAGAATCTCTCCCCTTTCCCCCTGCAAATATACTATGTAATGCTAGCCAGACAAACAGAGGTGTATTGAAACTCATGGACATACCACTCCATGCATCCAAACCACAGGAAACAAAAGCTGATAAATGGCACAAAGTTAGTATAGTTACTGACTTGGAAGCCACCTCACATTCATGTAGACAGCACATTCTGCACACAAATTATAGTCATTCTAAAGGTTGCTTTTTTTTTTTAGGGGCGGTGGTAGCTGTATTAGTTGCAGCTTCTAGTCTCTTGTTTGTCATCCCTCCGCAATCCCTCCTTCCTGACCAATGTTTTAATTGCTGTTTTTATGTTATTGTACGCATTTTAGCTCTGTTTTTAATTGTTTTCATGAGGTGTGCACATGCTTTTTTTGGGTTTTTTTGACGGGTTAATTTTAATGGTTTTAAAATCCGATTTTATTATGTATGTTTCAACTTGTTACCTACGTTGGTGGCCCTTGTGAGGACAGAAACAGGCAGGGTATACATTTTGTAAAATAAATAATCAGAAATCTTCCTATCTCGGCACAAAGAAACAATCTCGCCTTATTAAGGACTATTTCATATCATGTTCAGCCGTGTCTCATGTTATGTAACACTTTTTGTTTTTCCTGTGTGAAACTTGGTGATTTTTATAATTTGAGGGTAGTTTTCTGTTTGTTTTAAAAATAATGGAAGGCTAAGCTGTGGGATATAGCGGTCTCTGACAAATTAGCTACACGATTGGTAGTTATGGTACAGGGCTATTTTTGGGCAGGAACGCACAGGAACGGAATTCATTAGCATAATAGGCCACACCTAACAGCAGAAACCCATTAGGGTCCCGTTCACACGCGGCTATTTGGTCCGGGAGCGGGACAGTTCGGGGCCGGATCAAACCGGCGTGATCACACCACCACATCTGGGAAGCGTCTTGCTTCCGTGGCCGAACTGTCCCTTTCCCGGGATAAGCCGCGCCAAACTAAACCACCTATCTAGGTGGTTTAAAGGGAAGCGGCGCGGCAACCGGGGCGTTTGATCGCCGCCGCTTCCCTGCGCCGGCTCAACCCCGGCCCGGATCCGAGCTGCGCATGCCCGGACATGCGCAGTTCGGCCGGCCCCCGGGTAGGGCGTGTTTTCTCCCCGGCGTTTGATCGCGCCGGGGAGAAAAGGCCTTGGACGGGCAGTGGAAGGCAGCTGAGGGCGTTGACATGTTCCATTGCCTTGCCTGGCCTGTGCAGCAGGGTGTACTGGTAGCCGGCAAGAAAGATAGACAACCGCAGCATGCTGGGAGACAGCATCTGGGGTGTCTGGCAGTTGGGGGCCAGGAGACCCAGCAGCGGTTTGTGATCTGTGAAGACTGTGAAGGGGCGGCCGTACAGGTAGTCATAAAATTTACGCACCCCTGCCACGATAGCCAGCGCCTCCTTGTCTATCTGAGCGTAGTTACACTCCGCTGCCTACAAGGTGCACGAGTAATACACTTCTGGGACCTCACAGCCGTCGGCCAGTCTGTGACCCAGGACCGCTCCCACCCCCATAGGGCAATGCGTCACAGGCAAGTACCATGGGGAGGGACTCATCAAAACAATTGGTAGTTATGGACAATTCTAAACTACCAAATACCTTTTTAGAAAAATTGTTTGTTTTTTTTGAATATGTGATGGCACACCAAACAAATCAGTATCAATTACCACAAAAGTACAAGAATTTTGTTTTTTATTAAAGGCAGGTTTATTAATGTAATAGAGTAAAGCTAATGAGTTATAGTGTTAAATGTTGAGTGCATTTGATATTAATTGCACAAAGGGCAGTTACTGTATTATACGTTTTACCATATTGTTGGGAAATCTCCGTTATATTGCTATTGTACTGTTCCAATTTTTATTTTGTTTAAAAAATTAATAAAAATATTAATTGCAAAAAAAATAAAATAAAATAAAGGTCAAGTCTGTTTTAAAAATAAAGATATTTTAATAAATACAGGGGTTTTTTTTTTTTTAAAAAAAAGATTATCAACCCCCCCCCCTCCAAGTATTAATTTCCTGCTCTGTTTGGGCAGCAGAAATGAACAAGAGTAGTAACGAGGTTACTTCTGCAGGGCAGTGTCACATACAGAAGTATCTGGAGCAAAATGAGGCAACATGCATATATTCCCCCAGAGTTTTTGTTAACATCCCCCAAACATTATTTTTTGACTAATGGGGAAGTCCCTGTGGCTGGCTCCCTCCTTTTTTAGTTAAGTACAAAATCCATGGGTTGCATCTAAAGTACCTTCCCTGCCTATCCCCTACTGCTGCAAACCACTGCACAATCTCCCAAACTGTAGCTCTTGAGGTTCAGAGGTTCTCAAGAGTAGCAGTGGGCATGACCGGGGTGGGGTGGGGCGGAGGGGGCGTGCAGGAGGGACTACACTGTGTTTGAGTCACTGAATATCTCCCGATCCTTGTCCCATGAAAAATCACTGCTGGACCTAACCCATTAATAGTATTAAGGAAAAGAACAGAAACATTTTTTTCAAAGAAGAAGAGGAGATTGGATTTATACCCCGCCCTTTACTATCCAAAGGTGTCTCAGAGCGGCTTACAAACTCCTTTCCCTGCATCACATAAGAAGTGACATCATCATGCCAGCGATTCTGGGTGATGTTCTGGTATTTGGGCAAAATCTCTACGGTAAAACTGGCTTCTATCATAGAGTTTTTGCACAAATGCCAGAACGTTAACCGGAAGCTGCTGGCGTGATGATGTCACTTCCTGTGCAACACTGGCAATGTGGCCTGGGTGTTTCTCTTTCTCCTGCTGAGTCCCACTGCTGGCTCGCTGATTGGTGGCTGTGGGATATGGCCTGGCGGCAGGGGACATGGGTGTCTAGCAACCCTAATGACTTAAATGGCTCAGAGAAGTCATGATACCATACTAACCGATACAGTATCTTTGCTGAGATATCCTGAAAGGCTCCCAGTACCGTAATGGATGGCAAAGTCGGTTCCATTTTTCTCATACGTGCTGGATTTGGCAGAATCGTATTTGTGATGTAGCACTGCAAGAGAAAAGGAAAAGAAGAGATCAGTACATATGCAATTCACATATTACTGCCCAGACTGAACATTGGGTGATTTTCTTTTTAAAAGAAACAACTTGCAAGTATTTAAGTATGAGCCTTTTTGTAAACCTTTCCTACCATCTTTCTAACTAAGAGCTGAAGCCAGGATCGAATGGTTGCTTGAAGGACATATTATTATTGATTCAACTTTCAGGATTCCCAGACAGATGCTCACAGCAAACAGACAAAAGTAACTAGACATGCTTTGGTGTATGCTGTGAAGACTTGGCCTAGATGTATATTTCTGTGAAACTTAACACACAATTTACACACAACCGCAAACCACGGTTTGTCATTTTGGGAATAAACCCCGGAAATCCATGGGCTCATACTAAGTTGAGAGATATGAACTTCAGCAGTGTGGCTTACTATTTCCATATCCTGCTAACATATGAACCTAGTTCTAATCTCCCCCCCGCCGCCCCAAGAAGGAAAATGCACTTTTTATGCAGTGCTGTCAGTTTAATAGATATACAACCCACATGTCTATCATAATATTAACCAGAGCTATTTTGGGGCAGGAACGCACAGGAACGGAGTCCCGGCTGGCTCCTGAGTTGGCCACACCCAGCAGGAACTGATTAGCATAACAGGCCACACCCAACAGCAGAAACTCATTAGGATTGGCTACATTAGGGGTCTGTGGCCTAACATGCAAAGGAGTTCCTGCTACAAAAAAAGCCCTGGGTTTTGACAACAAAGTAAACAGAATAAGAAGCAAAAGGTGGGTGTGGCTGGATGACCACACTTCTGGTAACACAGGGATGTGGCCTAATATACTAATGAGCTGTGCTGTCATGGGTGTGGCCTAATATGCTAATGAGTTACTGCTGTTGGGTATGGCCTATTATGCTAATGAGTTCCTGCTGGGCTTTTTCTACAAAAAAAGCCCGGATATTAACTATATGTAAGTAAGCAACTCAAATTCAACTATGGTCCTGTGCACTACTATCTGAGTTTCTGCAGCGAGGAGGTGACGATTAAAAATCACTACACAATCCGACATTTACTTAGTCTGGGATAAGCCTGGAGTGCCCCATTATCAGGACTAAGTATGCACATGCAGACGTTCCAAGTGCCATCTGCTGGCAACTGTTGTTTTTCAAGTCTTTTGAATCAATGAAACTTCCAGCATGGCAAAAAGGCTACCAGCAGGAACTTCTTCACCTGGAATCATTAATACACACTACTTTCTAAAGCTGTTCTAACATATGGGGAATTAAACTGATTTGGCAATAGTAAAGAGAAAGAGTCCAGTAGCACCTTATGAGGAATTAACATATGAGGAATTAAACTGATTTGGCAATAGTAAAGAGAAAGAGTCCAGCAGTGCCTTAAAGGTAAAGGTTCCCTTGCTCGAAAGCCAGTCGAATCCAACTCTAGGGTTGTGGTGCTCATCTCTGTTTCCAAGCCGAAGAGCCAGCGCTGTCCGAAGACATTTCCGTGGTCATGTGGCCGGCATGACTAAACACCAAGGCGCACGGAACGCTGTTACCTTCCCACTGAAGTGGTCCCTATTTATCGACTTGCAATTTCTTGCTTTCAAACTGCTAGGTCGGCAGGAGCTGGAACTAGAGACGGGAGCTCACTCCGTCATGTGGCACACTCGGGTCTCGATCTGCTGAACTACCGACCTTCCACAGCCTGCAGTAGAGCGTCTTAACCACTTGAATCTGTGGTAGGGTATGAGCTATCATGAGTCTCTGCTTGCTTCTTCGGATACAGCTAGAATGTGAGTCCATCTGTCCATGATACCACAGACTTCCTGTGGAAACTGTAGTCCATTGACTGTCTTCCAAGAAAGAGCACTCTAGCCATCATGGATGTTGAGTCTCTGTACACCAACATCCCCCCTAAGAATGGACTACAAGCCACTAGAAACATCATCCCTGACAATACCACAGCAGATCTTGCCACTGAACTCTGCATGTTTGTTCGCACCCATAACTACTTCACGTTTGGGGAGAACTTATGCCTCTAAATCAAGGACACAGCCATGGGCACCCTCACGGCTCCACGGTATGCCAACATTTTCATGGCAAATCTAGAACAGTGCTTTTCTGAACTCCGACCCACTGGCACCTCTCCTTGACTTGAGGGTCACTGATGACATTTTTATTGTCTAGACCCATGGCAAAGAAGGCCTTGAGAGATTTTACAAGCTTTCCACAACTTCCACCCCATCATCAATCTAACTACGAATTACTCTACACAAGAAATAAACCTCCTGGGCACCACAGGACGGATACACGAGGGATACATACAGGGGTCATTTCCTGCAGGAGTGCACAGGAACGGCGCTCCGGCAGTAAAGAGCCCAGGGGGCGGGCACATGCAACAAGTCCCACCCCCTGCTCCCAGCAGCCCTCAGTCAGAGCAAGAAGCAGCCAGGTAAGCTGCAGAGCCCCCCCCCGGTCCAAAACAGTCCAGTGGCCCCTTTAAGACCAAGTTTTATTCAGGTACAAGCTCTCCCTCCTCTGCGACGACAGATCTGCATATCCCCCCCAAAAAAGCTAGCAATCCAAAACAGTCCAGTGGAGCCTGAGTGGTGGGCGTTGCCTTCTGACACACTTCTGGTGATGTCAGGGGGTGTGGCATATGCAAATAAGTTATGCTAATGAGCTCATGCACCTCTTTTTATACGAAATAAACCCTGGATACATAAGTATCACATTATACTGGAAACCTTCAGCTAGCACCCTACCCCATCAAAAAACCCATTGTGTATAGCCAAGACCTACATTGTAGTCACATCTGCTCCAGCTCCTCAGACAGAGATACTCAGCAACATCAGCCATACTATCTCAGGTTCATACTCCTGCTCATTCTCTAATGTGATTTATGCTATCATGTGTCAGCAATGCCTTCCACTCTCTACACTGGACAAACAGGCCAGTCCCTTCAACAAAGAATTAATGGACATAAGTCTGACATCAGAAACCACAACATTAAAAAAACAGTGGGGGGAACATTTTAACCTTCCAGGACATTCAGTTGTTGACCTAAACGTAGCAGCAATCTTACAAAGGAATTGCAAAGGGAGATTAGAAAGAGACTGCTGAGTTGCAACTGATAACAAAGCTCAAGACAATGTATCCACCTGGACTGAATTGAGACCTAGGTTTCCTGTCTCATTACCAATGCTGTTTTCTCGACACCTACTACCTCTCTTCATATCACACCTAATCCAATCACACTTGCTATTGTCATTTGCCTTCTAATGCCATTTAGCAAGGGAAGTCACTTGAATTAGCTAAAAGATAAGGACACTACTATCAATGTTTACAGATAAGTGAGAATAGGATGGTAGTTAGCACGAGCCAAGATCTGCTTATTTAAATACTTCTAATGCTCTTTTTGAAAATGCAGTGAAAACAGTAATTAGCTGAGTTCTATAAATGATAAATGTATAAATATTAGCATTTCCCAACACAAGTACACATTTCCAAGCGTCCTCACAGTAATTTCAACCATTGTATACAAGGTTCTGTGTCTTAGCAATGAGTCACAGGTAGTATAGGTGCACCATTTTGGAGGATATGCAACTTGGGGAATTAGAGACAGATATTTATCTCTCTCAAGCAGTGCTTCAGTTGCATCAAAGACGCTGGTTCTTAAAGAGAATGCGGGTAGAGAAAAAGTAAACTTGAAAAAAAGCACTAAGGAATACTGCAAAATGATACGAGCGTCTCAAAATAAAAATTCACAATGAATGAAATGGTAAACTAAATATAGTATTTTAAAGCTAGCTGTTGCTGCCTCGTCGTTTAGTTAAGGCGTGGCTGACAAAGGGTGAAGATACTGGAGGATGACAGATTCTGCATCTGCTTCACACAGAGAAATTTTCCTTGCACAGAATCCATACCTGCACATGGTATTTTACAGCATCTATGTTCTATCAGGTATGCACACCAATCAGGGCCATCCTACCACGAGAACATGCAGAGCATTTGGAAGTGATACCTGTACAGGGAATCCCTCTCACGCACCTTCAGTCTCACAAACCTGACGGGCACTTATTACAGACTCGACTGTGCATTTGTGGAGCCCGTCTGGAGCTGAGCTACGGGAACAGGCCCGTAGCCAGGATTTCTTTTGTCGGGGGGCATTCTGTGTAGAAAAAAAGCATGCAGAGCTCCTTTCATAGACTCCCTGCAGCTGCTTTCCTGTGGCGTTATTCCATGTTGCTTCAGTACCCCAACCACGTGACCAGGGCTAGTCAGAGACACAGGAAAGCAACTGCCTGCCACATGGGCATGTGAAGAATACCCTTTCAGAAACGGGGAAGTGCAAACCATCTCCTCAACAACTTCTCAAGTTTAGTTACAGCCAGGGGTCATTTCCTGCGGGAGAGCATAGGAGCGGCGCGCCGGAACTAAGGAGCCCAGGGGGCGGGCACATGCAACAAGCCCCACCCCCTGCTCCCGGCAGCCCTCAGTTGGGCCACAAGGAGCACGAAGCAGGAAAATTGCAGGCCCCCCCCCCCCCGGCCTGCCTTCAGGTACAAGCTCTCCCTCCTCTGTGAGGGCACATCTGCGCATCCCCCCCATAGCTAGCAATCCAAAACAGTCCAGTGGAGCCTGAGCGATGGGTGTTGCCTTCTGACACACTTCTGGTGATGTCAGGGGATGTGGCATATGCAAATAAGTTATGCAAATAAGTTATTCTAATGAGCTCCTGCATCTCTTTTTCTACGAAATGACCCCTGGCTACAGCACCTATATAAAAGAAGGCAACCAGGAAGATCTACAGAAGTTCCCTCTATATACTTACTGCAAGCAATGTCCAACAAACGGCAGTGTACCGAGGGCACCCAGAGGTTGGATGATCCAGTGTCGAAGACTACAGTAAACTTTTGTGGTGGTGTCCCAATGCCAATCTCTCCATAATACTGAGCCTAAAGAGTTAGACACAAAGACAAAGGTGAGATCCCTGCCCGTGAAAAGGAAATTCCAGACAAATTTATATAGGATCAAAATGTATGCCATGTTTGTGGAATCACTCTACAAACTGCAATGGCAGTTACCACAAGTGCACAGATGAAAAGATGATTGCAAACAGATTATTTTTATGAGAGAGAGACTGACTCTAGGGAAGAGACATGTCAGTGAATACTTCAGTGCAAGAAGCACGCTCCTACACCATCCCACTTGAGTGTGTATGTGTGTAAAATGTTGTCAGGTCACAGCTGACCTATGGTGACCACACAGGGCTTTCAAGGCAAGTGATGGAGCAGAGGTGATTTGCCATTGCTTTCCTCTGCAAGATCTTCCTTGGTGGTCTCTCACCCAAGTACTGACCCTGCTTAGTTTCTGAGATCAGATGAGATAGGCCTATCCTCTACCATTCCGCGTCCCTATCCCACTTACAAAACAAAAGTAAACAAGAAACAGGTAAAGGTAAAGGTTCCCTTGTTCGAAAGCCAGTCGAATCCGACTCTAGGGTTGCAGTGCTCACCTCCGTTGCCAAGCCGAAGAGCCAGTGCTGTCCGAAGACGTTTCCGTGGTCATGTGGCTGGCATGACTAAACACCAAGGCGCACGGAACACTGTTACCTTCCCACTGAAGTGGTACCTATTTATCGACTTGCAATTTCTTGCTTTCGAACTGCTAGGTTAGCAGGAGCTGGAACTAGAGATGGGAGCTCACTGCATCATGCGGCACCCGGGTCTCGAACTGCTGAACTACTGACCTTCCATAGCCTGCAGCAGTTCAGCGTCTTAACCACTTGAGCCACCGCAGCTCCATAATACACTATAAGAATTGCCTGCAGAATGATCTGGTGATCCCTGAGGCAAGCCTCATCTAGCAGCAGTAGCCACAGACAATGCCATAAAAAAATCAAGAATGTGAAGCCAGCACCAGAACATTATTCAACACCTGTCCACTCCCTACTTGGCTCCCAGAAGTCCCACTCCTTTGCTCGGCCTTGATACAGCTGAGGGGACAGGCGAGCAGAGTTCTTCCTGACTTTAACAGACTTTGGGATTCTTTAACGTATTTCCTGCAGGAGCGCACAGGAGCGGAGCTCCGGCAGTAAAGAGCCCAGGGGGTGGGCACATGCAACAAGCCCCACCCCCCTGCTCCCAGCAGCCCTCAGTCAGAGCAAGAAGCAACCAGGTAAGTTGCAGAGGCCCCCCCCCGCCCCCTGTTCCAAAACAGTCCAGTGGCACCTTTAAGACCAAGTTTTATTCAGGTACAAGCTCTCCCTCCTCTGCCAGGACAGATCTGCACGTCCCCCCCCCCAATAGCTAGCAATCCAAAACAGTCCAGTGGAGCCTGAGTGGTGGGTGTTGCCTTCTGACACACTCCCGGTGATGTCAGAGGGTGTGGCATATGCAAATAAGTTATGCTAATGAGCTATGCTAATGAGCTCCTGCACCTCTTTTTCTACGAAATGACCCCTGAATGTGACACTGTACTTTCCTCCCAAGAAAGCAGAATCCATTCCTCGAGAATCAGCCATCCTCCAGTGACCTCTATCTCTCTCATAAACACACAGACAAAACCCAAATGCAGTTTGTTTAGATGGTGACGGTTCCACTGGTAATTACTATAGATCGGCAATGCATTCGTATGGTAAGTGGTATGTGTGGGGAGGAACAGGCCCGTAGCCAGGATTTCTTTTGGGGGGCATTTAAAATGCTTAGGGGGCGCTTAACTTGATTAGAGTTGATTAAATTACCTTTAATTCAATTAACCCCACCTTCAAGCCTCGCCCCCTTTTCTTCTACGGGGGCCGGGTGGGGAAGGCAGGTGGCGAGGCGAGGCGGCTGAGGAGTGCCGAGCGTGTGTCGGTGTGCCCGCCCCGCCATTGCTCTTTTCAAAAAAGGAAACACGATCTAAACTTTTGCAAGCCCCCCTTCGTGGGCCCGAACTCTGCCATATTGCAACAGGCCGGGCTCAACTGGGGGACCCGGCCACACCCGCTGCAGATAGGGGGGAGGAGAGAAGAGGGGATATTAGGAAGGGGGTGGTGACGGAGAGGGAAGGCCTGGCTAGCTTCTCTTTGAATATTAATGAAGCACCAAAGCTTTAAGCCCCACAGCAGTGACTGCATGAGACGGCTCTCTAAGGCTCTGCTCTTTTTGACACAACAAAAGGTGTCTGCAGTGCTCGGGCTGGGTACGCTTTTGGGGGTGGGTGCAGACAGACCCCTGCCCCATCAGTGGCAGACTCCGCTTGCCCGCCAGCTCCCTCTCCCCTGGGTTGGGAGTGCGGCTCCTTCCTGTCTGTGGCACTTGCTCGCCCGCCTCTCCCCTCTACGTCTTGGGCTCGGGGCTGCCAGGCTGCCTCCTCCTTGGCCACCTCCTCCTCCTCGGCTGGTGGCAGCTGAACAAGCAGCCAGTCCCCAGCAAGGGAGCGAGAGATGGCCATGTGCTTGCTGCAGCCATGAGAATGTGGCCGGGGTAGAGATGTAAAATTTCCGGAAATTTTGAAGCTCGGGAAAAAACCTGTTTTCTTTCGGGGGGAAATGGAAATTTTCGGAAAAATTGGGGGGGAAATGCTACATTGGCACTTCTTTTTCCTTTTCCAGATTGAAAGTCATTCTGTTACTTTAGGGACATAAAATATGACTATGGACATTTTTACCTGGCATGAAATCATCACAACTAGCATATTAAAAATATAGTGTATCCAAACAATTATTACAAGCAGAATACCCACCCACATGCAAAAACAAAGCTGAAACCTTTTTCTTTTCTTGAGACAACAGCACCTCCTAAAGGAAGAAATGCATCTTGTTCTTGCATTCGAGAGTGCAGTTTGTGACCTAGGACTTGCGCGTCCTCAGTGCACAGAAATTAGATCAATCTGATACCATACATATTCTTTAAAAATGATTTGGAAAATATTTGAATACCTTGTCTTAAAATATTTTATTCACCATGTTAAAATAAAACGTTCCATAATCAATTTCTTTTCTTTTCTTTTTTCAATTTTTCCAATTTTTTTGGGAAAAAACAAAAAAGGCTTCGGTAAAAAAATGGAAAAAAATGTTTTTCCCCCCAATTTTTTCCAGTTTTTCCCCAGGCCTTCACATCTCTAGGTCGGGTTTGGCAGCCAGCCCATGGACTCACCAGCTGGCCCACGGCTCGTAGCGGTGGAGAACGGGGGTCCGGGAAGTTCAGGGGGCCCTCACAGTAAGTCGAGGTGCTGGGACCTGGGATGCCCCACCGTAGTTATGGGGCTGTTGAGGGAAGGCTTACATTTTGGCAGACCTTGTGGTGTATGCAGTGAATCTCTATGTGTGTCCCCCCCTCCCATCAGTCTAGGTGAGAAGAAGGCCTTCTTTCCCCTGGACAAGCTACTTGCGTACTGTGGTAGGATGAAATGCCAAAATATGTCCTTGGTGAACATGCTTCAATAAATGCTATTCGGGAAAGAGAAACTCTACTGCTTTTCAAGTCCTCTTCATGCATATGAGCCTTTAAGTGCTATGTCTACAGCATTTCTTCACCTTGTGGATCTCCAAAACTAATATTGTATTGGGGCATGCTGTGTTCTCTTATCGAGTACTTGGGCAGCACTTAGCATAAGCCAAGGATACCAGCTGTTACTTTCAGAGTGCCACTCCAGATGTCTCAACTTGAGCTGCCTTGTGATTAAGCAGGATGTTGCCTTGATCTTCACTCTTTGCTATGCAACTGGCCCTTCCAAGGCCCGGTGCTTCATGCGACATTTATGATCTGGGAACGAAGAGGGTCTTCAGACATAAGTTATTAACACAGCTTTTGAAGATCACTGCCTTCTGTTCTTGCCAAGAACCTTTAAAGAAATGTTTCTTGTTCTTGCATTGGAGAGTTCAGTTTGTAACCTAGGACTTGCTTGTCCTCAGTGCACAGAAAATAGATCAATCTGATAAGAATACATATTTTTTAGAAATGATTTGGAAAATATCTGAACACCTTGTCTTAAAATATTTTATTCACCATGTTAAAATAAAACGTTCCATAATCAATTTTTTTTCTTTACTTTTTTCAATTTTTCGGGAAAAAACAAAAAAGGCTTCAGTAAATGGAGGCGGCACATGTCTCTGCACTGCACAGATTTTCACATGTCTCAGAACAGTTTGTGCTTTGCACCAGTGAATCTAGCTGCTCTAAGAAATGCAACTAATCTCCTCCAAATAAATCAGGCGGCAGCAATCTGGCATCCTTTGACTTGGAAGGGTGGACTATGTGCCTGCACCATGTCCACACTTTGACTCGGAAAGGACGAAACGCCCAACAAGTAGGCAGAAGTGGGAATGTTTACTCTTACAGACATCTCTGGCAACTATACCTTTTCCTCTGATAGAATACATCTGTAAAAGACTTCACCCCAGACGTAGGCAGCTGGGAAACAGCTGCGGGCGAGGAGCATAATGAACCACTTGCTTGGCAAGAGGTGGTTGTGCAATGAAGCGCAATGTTATCCCTGCCCAGAGCCACCCCACCCCTTTCCAGTATCCCAGGATCCTTCCCTAAATGTTCAGCTTTCACTCAGGTAGAGAAGTAAACATGTGTCGGAAGTACTCGATCCAACTGATCAGCAGCCCCCCTCTCCCTGCTCCCCCCCCCCGTGTTCGGGCCAGTTAGTGAAAAGGTAATTGGTAGGGGCAGGGGTCATTTCATAGAAAAAGAGGTGCAGGAGCTCATTAGCACACCCATCTCTGGCAACTATACCTTTTCCTCTGATAGAATACATCTGTACAAGACTTCACCCCAAACGTAGGCAGCTGGGAAACAGCTGCAGGCGAGAAACATAATGAACCACTTGCTTGGTAAGAGGTGGTTGTGCAATAAAGTGCAATGTTATCCCAGCCCAGAGCCACCCCACCCCTTTCCAGTATCCCAGGATCCTTCCCTAAATGTTCAGCTTTCACTCAGGTAGAGAAGTAAACACATGCCGGAAG